TCTTGAATTTAAGAGAAATAACTCCACTAAAGTGCATTTCCGACAGTGGGAGAGTGAACATTCTTCTCTTTGCAATGTTTCTTGGCAAGATTCTCATTTTTTTTTCTTGTTAACAAGAAAAAGCCAATTCGATGGTTCACTAATAACTCATCACAACTACGTAATTTTTCAACAACATTACATCAACCTTACCTGTACAGATTGAGGTGGAGTGGAGATCGCCAACGAAGCAGGTGAGTTTGGCACACCTGAACACCATTATAGTGAAAAGATGATTGCAAAGAAAAATACGAATTTCTTGAATTTTATTAGAAATATATTAATTAACATATCCTTAAAATTTCATGTACTGAGTTATATTATCATTAATGGAGTATAAGTAAGGAATCTACGGATAGGCATTCGAGACTAACCATTCTCAACATTTTGCATAAAAGCAATGACCTTTTTTGTATTTTTCCGCTTTTTTGAATACTGTAATTGCGCTGCCAGTTTGTTCCTTTCTCTTTTATTTGAACGAGGGTAAAATGTACCTTCCTATTACTGTGACAAAAACTTTTGCAGCAACGAATAAGCTCGTTTTTACAAAAGGACGGGTTTGAAAAATGATAAAAATTACAAAGCGATCAAATCTCGAAGAGAAGCACCTTATGAGACATTTTTTCGCGTCAATAAATAAAAGATATCACAAGATGGTTATTTTCATTGTTGATTAATGAACGGAAGCTTCGTTTTAATATGACCCCACTTTGAATTTGTCTGCCCATTTCATTAGGCCTTTTATTTGAAGGCACAGTAGTGACGGTATGAGAAAATTGTCCCCGTATCTGGTCTTGTCCAAGCATTATACCTTGCCGACGCACATCTTGAAGCTGTTGTTGCCCAGTTGATGGAACTGAAAATAAAAGAAAAACTCCCAAATTACAAGAAGTTGGAATCTTCGTCCACATGGAATCAAAGTAGATGAAAAAGATTCAGAGTAACTTTATTCGAAATATTTGTTAAGGCTTTATTGTCTAAAAATATTTATATCGTAAGCAAACTAAAGCAGTACTTTACCATGTAAATGGTACTTTCCCTACTCAACCAAAGGATAAACAGACCCACCCGTTTGAGGTTTCTGCTGCGGAGAAAGCATCTGATGACTGAGAGGTGATTGCGTCGATACAGGCGACATCATACCTGATTGCAGAATAGGCGACGGCATCATCTAAATGATTGAAAAAAAAATCAAATAATCTATGTTTTAGCCATTTAAGTCTCCAGTCTTCTCCTCGTTCTGATTTACAGAATCAAGGTGTA